CCCCAGTCTGAATAGGGTTAAACGGACTCTTCGCTAAAGATTTATTAAGTTATTTCGCTACCCCGTAGCTTAGGAAGCCTTCCTTTCTGTGCCCTGTTTCGTTCGTGAAACTGAATTCATACCCTGATTTGATAGTTTTGCCCTTAATGTGCACGTTATTTAATTACAATTTAATATGTCGCTCCCCTTCTCCGTAGGTCAGTGCCTGTCTCATTGTTATCGGCTTCACGTTTATCTTTGGAGGAATGTTTGCAAAAACCTGGCGAGTGTACAAAATCTTTACAAACAGGCGTCTCAAACGCGAAGTATGATTAAACTGTCGTTATTGCCTCTTTTTTGTTGTTTTATTTTTTTCCACAGTTCTTATTCATCTATTACGACAGAGAAAGAATGGATTTTACTGAACTTCTGGACCTCTGAAAATTAAACGAATGAAATTTAACAGCGACAACGGTCGCCGGGGTAGGAACACAGTGGGAATAACTCAAGACAAGATACTTTTAAGTTGCATTCAGAGTTGCACGATACCTTGGACTCACTATTCTGAATTTACTCATAACATAGCGGGAAATACTTTACCAACGTGCGAGACATAAATTGCAAGCAATCAGAATAAATACTGATATCTCTCGATCGTGTGATACGAGCACCATAAATGACAATAATGATAATACTGAATAATTTATTTCTCGCCTATTACATAAAAATCCACCCTTGCACTAGAGCCTTTCTTTTCCTTGCTCGATTTTGGCGTCCTCAAGAAAGACCCTGCATGAATCGAGTAAGATCTTTGTTGAGCTACATGCGCGGCATGTAGCTACGATATCAATCTCGTACCTCGAGTCTGCGTCCCTTACTGCGCATGCTGGCTTGACGAGAGGAGCGACCGCTGGTCAAGGGGAACGAAGACGCTGGGTACAAGGGTGCTAAGATATCGTTTCAAACCCAGGCCTAACATCCGTGCACGCGCTACAGCGGGCTCAGTTATGACCTTCGGTTTATCAATAAGCGGATGCTCACATTCAATAAAACCAGTTTGACGAGAGAACAAGATTGACCAGTCCAGACGTTTGGGCTTCGGTGGCCTCGAAGGTTAAACGTGATTCAGGAAGAGACTCCTTTTCTTTTTTTCACTCAAGAAGAGAAAAGGACGCTCGGCTTGTAAAAAATAAATAAACAAATAAAGTGTTGTTTTCAGAGAAGCTGACAGGTAACATTTTCTATGCCTTTTTGTACACCAATTCTCTTGTTTGGTTTTCTTTCTTTTTTCTTTGCAGATTGGTGGATTAACCACTGCGCGACTCATGACAAAAATTTGTTTTATCTTACTCCTTGATACCGTGGTCTTAGTTAGCTGGGAGCTGGTTGACCCATTACAGTCAGAATTCATAGAAATCTCAAAAGAGGTATCGAAACAAAAAGTTGAGGTTTACAGAAATTAGAGAAGTACGGTCGATTCAAATTTCTTTTTTTACGTGTGACGCTTGCGCAAAAACAGGGTAAATTGATGTCAGAAAGGAACGGTCAAATTGCCGTCAACTTGGAATTATTCTGCATGGTTATATTCACTTAAGACATAGATAGGTTACATGCACCTAACACAAAATTAGGTTTGCTCTTTCCTCTTTACGCGAACGCAATTTAATTAAAACTAAATCTGATAAAAGATAACAACAGAACTGACATATCAATCTGAAAAACCAGCAATTTTTGTTTATTTATCTTTTTTTGACATCGACACAATGACATAGAATTTGGTCGAATCATTTTAGTTAAGTTGTTTTCACCTATTACTTCACTTGAAGTTATCAGTACAACTGTATACGTATTTGTAAAATGTGAAATGACGAGATCATGTTTTTCTAAACTTATATAACATTTTCCGTTCGATCTTTTTACTTTAAGTTTCTTTCAAACGATGAAGACATACAAGTCCACATCTTCGCCCATCAATGTGACTCGAAGCATTTCAACACCTGGATGCTGGGAATAATAGCCTACAAAGGGGTTCTTCTTCTCTTTGGCGTTTTTCTTGCCTGGGAAACAAGAAATGTTCATTATGCGGAGCTCAATGATTCCAAGAACATTGGTTTAGCTGTCTATAACATCTTGGTGTTTTCTGCGCTCTCCATCACGGCTGAATTTGTGTTAAATGAACAAGCATTCGCGACCAAGAGAATCTTTAACAATTTACTGATGTATTTATGCACATCCATGGTCCTTATTTTGGTATTTCTCCCTAAGGTATATATTGTGAGAGATAAATTCCAACCTTTAACTGCTTAACTGTCGGACTTCATGGAACTTTCAAGCTGATATTTTTCGAATTTATGTGCTCATTAAATCATTGCTTTGGCTATAAGTCAGATACTTCAAGGCTTTCCTTAGGGACAAGCGAAAAGAAAAGGGAATGCTAGGGAAAAAATTGGACAACTGAGAGATTAGAACTACCTATAGACTGATTAGTATACAGAGGAACTTTTTATTTTAAAAGTTTTAAGATGGTTGTAAGCCAACAGTGACGACAGAAGCCGTCAGTGGCCTCGCTGTCCTCGATGTTAACCAGGAGACGCTAGAGGCCCTTTTCTCGAGTTTAAACCTTTTCAAAGTTAAGTGTAACAAAATGAGGTAGGACTGGTAGGTTTCGCCCTTCCTACACCGGCCTTGTGCTTCGTTCAGTGTGGATAAGACGTTTTACTGGCGGTTAATTTTCATTACTCAAAGACACTGGAGTTACCTACGTTCATATCTCAAAACAACTTGAAGACAAATCTTAAGTGACGGTCTTGGACACTGGCTTGACATATAGTTTTATATATAATAACTGTCGCCAGAAATAGCATGTTACTGTCTTTGAAAATCTTAACAAAACATGATTCTGTGGCTTTCTTTAAAGGGTACGTGAAAAACTGGCAAAGTAGGCTCGATTGATGTAGATCGGGGTGGCTAGATTGTGTTGTTTGTTATCCCTTTTGCTTATGACTTTTTGTTTGTTTTTGTTCTTTCTTTTTTTTTTGCAGATATCGCGCCTTACTCGTACGAGAGAAGTTCAACCCATGGAAAGTGGAGACCACGGACTATCTCGTCAAAGCTCTCTTAGACAGCGCCACCTTAATGCTGAAGAATCTAGCTTTGTAGTCTCAGAATCTGAGCAAATGACTCGTTAACACCGTCTTTGTTGAAGAAGCACTTCTTTAAAAAAAAGAAAGCTCGACTAAGGATTGTGAGCTGTGGAATGACACCCTGAGAACAATTACAATTCACAATTTATTTTTGCCATTTTATTATAACACAGTAATAGAGAGGTTAAACATCATCACGTTTACGTCAATTTGTACCACGTGACCAAGTTTTCCCTTTACTTGTTGTTCACTGTTCATTATTTCTACACATAAATTAGTAGTTTCACGCAATTTTTTATCCGTAAGAATTGTTTGAGCTGTTTTTATCTGCTCACTTTCTATTCCGTTTGAGAAATTTGCCGTTTGCCGTAAACGTAAACCTTAACTGATCTCTCTAATTATAATAAACTACAGAAATTCGTAAGAATATGGCAAGAAAGCCCAAAGAAACCTTATACAACATGCGCTTTCTCTAGTAAATTACAAAAGATATGACTTAATATTAATTTAACTGAATGGCGAAGGCAGAGTAACAATAATGCGAAGGAATAAGGTATCAAAAAAAGAGATAAACAAGAAGACAAAACAGAAAGCTGAACGTTGATCTCATGTAGTCAGACCAGTAAAAATATCCCCCTTAGAAAGAATAACTTTACAAATCACAAACTTTCAAAACGGATAGCAACGATAAACACGAATTTGGAAATGACTCGGAAGCATGTTAAGAACTGGCAGTTTTAGGACTGAGGAAAAAATAGCAGAAAAAAAACTTAAGCTTGCCATAATAGTAAAGACAAATCACATGAATCAAGTGACATGTGTAATATCAGGCACAATAATGACCAGGCGGAATAAAATGACATTATCTTAACTATATTAGAAAGCCAAAAGCTTACTGACATCAGTATGTTAACATGGCCAAATTTTTATGACCTAAACAACTGTACCCTTTAGGAACGGCGCTCAAATTTTTGGTCAGAGACATTGCTCGTTTAGTATGAACTTAAGATTTTTTTTTAGTGAATGTTGTTTGCATGACTTATTAGAGCCTTTCTGTTCACAGTCAGTTCATTTGAGTGCCACCCAAAACAGTTTGTCAGTCAAATCATACGGTAGATTTAACGTAATACGTAGAAGTGATTTATTATTTACAGCATACGATCTTTTTGTAAGCTTCTCGAAATTGTTTTTGTGTCAAACCGTAAATTATAGGATTGACCGCGCAATTTGCTACCCCAGTGTAAGGCATGAGAAGGTAAACGTGTCGTTGAAGACTGTAGTCTCCTCGAATCGTGTCCAAAATCTCGATTGTAAATGCCGGTGTCCAGCAGATCAGAAATGCAATCAGTATGGCAAAAAGAACTTTCGTCACTTTGACTTCCGCAGCAAACAATTTCTGGTCGTCATGGTGCAGCGAAGACACGGCGACTTGCACAAAATGAGCGCGAACTTTAAGAAACACTTTCAAGTAGCAAAATGCCATAACTGGGTACGTAATGACGAGCAAGATAAAATACGGGACAAGAATAATCGGCAGTGTGTTTTGATCTCCGCTCTTGCAAACAAAGCAGTTCACTTTACCAGCATGAAAACAGAATTTCTGCTGGCCAAATGGAATAACAAAAAATGCAGAAAATACTGCACCTGTCGTGATTGATATCAGAACATGTTTTCTGGTGTAGATCTTCTGATAAGTGCTCGCTGATTTTACAATTTTGAAGTAGCGATTTAGCCCTATAAGACTCAAATTCAATAGCGAAAAGCAGGCGGAGAAATAAATTAATGCGCCCTGTATCTGACATACTGTTTCACCAAAGAGCCAATGTCCGATTATCGTTACGACGAAAGCTATAACCACAGAAAGAAGTGTCAACAAAAAGTCTGAGATTGTCAGGGCGAATATGTAGTAATGCTCAATTTTGCGTCGTGTGCGGAACCTGTAGATTGCCAAGCAGAGAAAAATGTTCCCCATCAGTGCCAAGACCACAATAACTATGGCAGAAGTTGATTCGAGAATCACTGACCACGCTTCTCTGTTCTTTAGAGCATCGTCCATTCCCTTTTTTCTTTCAGATGGATTAATCATTGTGTAAAGCAAGGTGGATTAGAATTGTTTCTTTATGGCTTTTCTGAGCACAAAGAACTCGCTAATGTCAGAAGATATATATCACCGTATCGACTTCACGTAAATACAGTATATTGAGGTGAACTTTCCATGCGCTTTTATTGTGTTGCTAAAAAAAGTAACGACCATTTACATCTCAAATTGCCGTTCCATTGAATAATTATAAGTTATTAAAATCAAATATTGTCACAATCTCATAGTGTCACTTTATTCGAAGTTTTCTAAGAAAACGTCGTGTTTTATTAATTTCGCAACGCACTTGAACGACGTTTGGAGCCGGCAAAAAAATGATTGTAACGGTTTTTACACTCTGTTTTTCTCCCAGATTTTTCATGAACTATTGCTTTGGAATGCTCCAGGAGGACCCCATATTAAATCTCAGGAGCATTTGAGAACAATAACTTACCCAGACTGATTTAATTGGTGGCAAATACGGGATTAAAAAATATTCAAGGTCTTCAAGGATTTCGTCCCAAATAGTTTCCTATAAGTTAATTAATTAAATTTTCTTGGTGCTGCAATTTTCGACAGGTTCATGCTACACTAGAAAAATAAGAATGCTTAAAATATTTAAGATATTTCTCACTTTTTCCTTTATTTTTGCAAGTATAAACGACTAAATTATAAGTCCTACTGATCTGCCTTTACTTAGATAATCAAGCCTGACACCTGTTAGTTATTTAATAATTTTCTTATTACTCAAACAAGAACGGTTAAGAGAAGAATTGTTGTTAAAATTAGTTGTTTTAATTATTTGTCTTCTGGTAATCACTTTATTGGTTGCTTTATATTATTCGTATTCATAATTCTGACAACAAATTATCAGAACTTAGCAGAAAATACAAATATAACCTAGCAAATGGGCTATTCGAGACAGCTATGCAAACCCGAGATAAAGTGATTAGCGCGCGAAAAGCAAACATCTTGACGTCGCAACCATGTTTACATACTCTAATGCAAACACGCCTCTCGGCCAATCAGAGCGCGCGTATTATCTTAGTTGTTCTACATTTACAGATATCTTTTCCTATGTCTTTATTTGACATTTAGCTTCAGGATCCGGTGACTTGAATCCCCGGATCCCCGTCGCTGTATAAAAGGATCGCGGCCTCCGGGAATGAGATTGAGGCTGGGGCCGCTCTTTATTTTTTTAGTGATTATAAGAACGGGTACTTAGAGGCACATACGAAGAATCAAATCTGACTAACATTTTCCTATGCCAATTACAGGTTTAATTAACAAATCTGTGCAAAATATCAGCTTTTTATAATAGTGACCTGGTCGAAAACCCATCGATGTGAAACGTCACAAAGGAAGAAAAATTTTTAGCCAGTAACTTTTAACTTTTCAAGATGTACACATAACACTCGGTGGAGGCCACTCACACATAATAGAGCCCTTTGTAATACATACTCCGTAGATGTCTAAGGGTACGGGGTTAAGATGATCTACCCGTAATTATCTATAGAAGTAATTTACCCGGTGTTTCTGAAGGTCTATACTCAGTGGTCTATTCACAGCTGACTGCTAAGAAAGCAGATTATAATGATTGAATCAAGCAACTTGTTCTTCAGCCATGAAATGTGTACTGAGGAAGATACTGGTCAAAAAGAGCTTAATTCATAAAATCACGAGTGAAGCTTTTCAGTTTGGTGTAGAAACTTGAAAATAATTTCACCTTCAAAATCCTCAAAAGGAACATTTATGACAAAATTTTTTTTTTTTTTTCACTTAGCCAGTGGGCCTGTCATAGTAAAACTAAGACGTTTGTTTTCAATATGTTTTAAGCTAACCAATCAGAAGCGTCCCTAGTTTGACGCCAACTTCGTTCCCCAGTGCGAGAGAGCAAGGAGTGAGAGTAGGAGAGGACCCTGGAAACGAAGTTGGTTAAATGCATGCAGTTGGATCCCGACAGACCAAGTGCAATCAACTTTCCTGGTTTAGATTAGCAAAGCAACAACTTTACACGTACATAAAAAAAATCACGCTTTTTTGTACATTTCTAAGCCGTTGTTGCACGACTGAAACGCGGTGAAATTGCCTAATTTCACGCTCTGCACCGAGGACGGGAACACAAGACAACAACTTTCTTTTTCTTTTTCTGAACTTTGATACAGTCGTTTAGAATTAAACTCCAAAAAATTTTGGCAATATTTGACGAATTAAACGAGAATGAATAAGCGCGATGAAGTTTGAAGTAGCGCAAATTCACTTTTTAAGTGACGTTTTCGTAGCCGTCGCCGTCGTTTGTTGCTTCAGCACCTCAAAGGTTGATTTCCACTGACGCGTTTTTGGCTACGCTCGTTAACCGGCACGTGAATTTTAATCACGTAAATAAAATAGAGGCACGATAAAAAGTGCTGACCTTAAACGAGAAGTTGAGCGAGGTTCAACTTTTACCTCTACGAGCGACCTTCCATCAAATATTGCCTCTATCTTATTTTCGAAAGTAAATTTTACACACGTACACACGTAAAAATTATGCGACACTGAAAATCAACCCTATTAGTTCGCAAAGATCGTAACTCTTTCGCTGCAGTGGGTAATTTCAGTTACACAAGAGCCGGTGGCAGCAGACAGGCTAAGTACAGAAAAAATGCAAAGTAAAACCAACTGAAAGATCCCCCGCCCCCGCCCCCCCAAAAAAGGCCTAGAAAATAGTGACCCAAGCTGGATTGAGTGTCAGTGAGGGGAGCCTACGAAACCGACCCTGTGAGAGATCTAAGTACACCATACGAAAAATGTGGACTCATATCTCTCGTGTTTCAGTCTAATTAAAACAGTAAGATAAAAGGTTTCACAGGTTGGCATGTATCTGTCTCATATCCAATAAATCTGGTGCTTAAATCGCTCACAACGCATTTTCGTTGAAACGTCCGAATCGCCTTCCCATCAATGATTGTGCAACTTTGCAATCTTTCAACTCAAGAAATAACAACCCCAAGCCTTTAATTATCCGGTCTGATAACTATAGGACAGTGCCTAGCTGGCAATAATAATTCGAATGGTAATTTCTGAACAAATGCAATCTATTGACTGTGATAGGCCGGTTTACTCAGCCTATTTCTTAGACCTAATAAGATTGGGCCTAATAAGATTGACGCATTTAACAGTTGTTATAACACAATTATCGACAAGTTAATTAGTTTTGGTCGTTGCTGCGGCAATGATAACTGACGTTGCAAAAAGAGGTAAAGGCTATTTCAGAGTTTTATGACGAGGATGAAGGTCGCAATGTTCAAGCTTCTTTTCATTGTCCTGACTCTTGCTTTTCAACTGGCAAGGCATAAAGCTTTAGCCAGCAGAGCCTCTTCGAATGAAGCGGCTATGAATATTCTGTCGAAATGCCCCCAGAGCAAGTGTTTGGTAAGGTTACCTCTCAACCTTTCCATAAGATACGGTGGCTCGTACCATCAAACATATTCCAAAGTTTAATTGTAGTTCGCTTTCGGGTTTTAATACTTTGTTTCTTTTTTTAACAGACGGATGCAGTCGCCTGTCTTGCTGGAGCACAGTGCAGCGGTCCTGAAAGTTCAGGTGAGGAAAAATAACCTGAAGTATCCCATTCGGTTACGCAGCGAAAAGTCATTACTTTCAAAGCCACACCCTTGGAGAAGAGAGAACGTGAGACAGTTTGGTTTTAACACCAAAGGAAATTTTCCAAAAAAAAAAAAGACACGCAGATATTAAAATTCTTTAGACACAGCCAAATTCCTATGAGCAAACTTTCTTTGACTGGATTAAGCTTTTTAAAATTTATCTAATCACTTATTATCACTTAAACACGAGACGGCTATTGCAATACAGTTGACCATGGCATGGATTTTTTAATAAACCAGTAACCTCATCGTGACTTTTACCATACGAGAAATTATACAATTAAATCAATTTTCTTATAAATGTCTGTTACTTTTGATAATTTACAGATCAAACAAAAAAGCTGGAAAATCTAGAGAAAGAGGTGAGGTTACCATGAAAGGGCGCTTTTTTAAAACCTTCAATTAAACTAAGTTTAAAGCGGAAGGCTTTTGCCATTTAGTTTCTTAGCTACAGTAAATTTTTCGTTGGATATTCGTTTTGTTGATACGGTTTGTTAAGTTACCCGTGAGAAGGGGAATTTGTTTGGACAGGGTATTGAGTCACGACGCATTCACTAAACATAAAGCCGGATTCATTCCAAAGATTTCGTTCTTGCTTTTCATTCTCGAAATCTTTTTGAGGTAAATTAATCCTTTGCTTTGTAACAAAGTTACGTTACAAACCACTGCTAGCCGAGATTAACTGTTTTACTGTGACTAGTGCGACGAGGTCGCGAGCTAGTATTAAAATCCCCCTTTTTTGCATTTCTAGTCAAAGAGAGACAAGTTTGTTTAGTTCAATCGGTTAGTTTACCTATATTTATTTAGCTGACGCTATAGAATCTGGTAACCTTCAAATCCCCTTCTTCAGTCAAAATTGCTAAATTTTTTCATTCTGTATTTCGTTCTTGAAATCACTGATTTGCAGGTCGCCAACTTAAAAGCAGAGCTGGCAAAAGCGGGCAAACCTTCTGGCTTCGCCACGCTCGACAGCAATGGCCGCCTGCCCCACAACCTTCTTGACGCAGGTTATGATAAGTACTCTGCGTACGACTTGGCGTGGCAGTCTCTCCACATGGCGGCTGCTGCTGCCTGTAGAGGTAGCACTGCTTCAGGAGGAACTGGTTGCTGTGAAAACCAGGTGATGGCAAGAAACACTGCTGAGAGGAAGACGTGTGCTCAGATTTGTGCCCAGACTGTTTTCCGCAACTGTGACGCAGAGGTTTCTATATATGGAAAGAAAGGCAAGGCAACAAAGAACGGAATGATCGTCGGCGCGTTTTACAATTACGCCTGTAACCATGGAGCCAACGGAGGAAGTGAGGTGTCCAGTTCTGACGAAACTGTCATGAACTACAGTTACCCTTATTTCAGCTTTTGTTGCTGTCGAAAGTAGCATTGGCAACGGTTTTATTACAGGGCGATTAAATCATTGTAGTGAGGAAATATAGAATAAGAATCTATCGCCGTTTACTTCTGGTAATGAGTAAAAGAAAAAATAAAAGGTTTCACTTGGGACAAACAGCCGCGTCTGCTTTCTTTGCCCACTTCTACCATATTAAAAAAAATCCCCCCTCCCACCCTCCACCCATTCACCCACTCATCATAACAAGAGAAAATCAAAATAATCCGTATGACTCTTTAATAATAATAATAATGATGATGATGATGATGATGATGATGATTTGGAGGTAGCACATCCACAAAGTGGTTCTTCGTCTAGCTGATTCCTGGTAGAATTGGAATTGGGAAATGTTGGTTTTTGAAGAGAGGGGAAAACCGGAGAACCTGGAGAAAAACCTTCTGGAGCAAAGGAGAGAACCAACAACAAACTCAACCCACATATGGCGTCGACGTCGGGATTTGAACCCGGGCCACATTGGTGGGAGGCGAGCGCTTTAACCACTGCGCCATCCCTTGCTCCCCTCTCTTTTAGTTGAAGACGACTGTACTTAAATAAGTACCTTTTCCAAACAGCAGTTTAACAAGCTACCCCTTTTTAATTTACCCTGGGGACAGACTTTCTTACAAAAATGAGAGGGGTGTTCGCCGTACCATTAAGGGGACTTGTACTGCTTCGTTCGCGTTGGCCTCAAAAGATCACCATTAGAACTCTCGCAGGATTCAGAGGCCGTTTTGATACCTCTTGTTGGTTAAGGGTTCAGCCTTGCCCAAGATGTGAATAATTCCGCTACCTTTCACATTTAAGGGTGTTGTAAACTTTTCCGAAGAGCCTCCCCGCTACTATTATATTCCTCGGGTAATTTTTATACTTTTCAGCGCTCCGCCTTTTCAATGCAAATTGTATTATTTAGTAAGATAATCTCGGATATTACGAGGAAAGGGGGACGGGGGGTCGGGGAACGGGAAGCGAGCATGGGTAGTTGAAAAAAGAAAAAAGGGAACAGCACAGGGAATGGGTAATGAATTCCGGTTTTCGGTTTCCATTTTTCATTTTCTCGTTTCCCGTGCTTGTTCGGTAACATTCAGGTCAGAGGGGTAACTTCCCCTTTCTTGAAAGGAATTTTCCTGAAGCCTGTTGACTAAACAGATTACCATCAATTAGTTAACTGGCTATTTTAGCAGAGCATAACAATGCGTTTTTTCTT